TATATATATATATATATATATATACATATACACACAATTTTTTTTATTATATAATAATATACCAAAGTTTCCTTATATTATGAATAGAAAATATTTAATTTACAAAACTAAAATTTATAACTGTATTGTTCCAACCTTAGCGCTGAGATATTCTCCAGCATAACAAAATATAAATGCCTCCAAAGTGATGACGACGTAAAAGAAAAGAGATTTGATCAGCATCGTTGATCCTTGCGTATCTTCGATCGACTGTAACGTGATTGTAAATAATATCAAATGTCAAACGTTCTGAATAGCGAGTAAAATAAGAGTGCTTCAAAATCCGTATTTGAACGTCATCAATTATTTTGGATATTTTTGTACAAAATATCTCGTTTTATTGCGTAGTTAAGGCGACGTATTACAATAAAAATGTTTTATGTAACAGCAATTTAACATTATCGCGTATATATTAACTGCGTGAATTTTTCCCATCATAAAACGTCACTCACAGAAACAATTAAAAATCCGAGGCAGCAGATGACCAAAGTGTTCCACAGGAATTGCATCAAAGCAATATATGAGAATAAAGTCTCGATGTCGGCTGAAAGCGCGATAATTCTCTGATGTCGACATATTAGAGCTTTAATAGTCGAGGTCCGCAAGTCAAACGTGTCGTCACCTGAGGAGATTTCTACCAACCCTCGGCACATTATATCGATTTGTCCACCTACGTGAAGAATCTAAAAATAACGGTCAACGCCCTGCAGTGTATTCTCAACATTGTCCCTCCGTACAAAAAACAGCTTGTGAATACAAAGGTTTATCGACACGAGAGGCAATAAGATAAACAAAATTTATTATACCTTAGAGAGAACGTAATTCTTATATTTATAATAATATAACCGTAATATTGTGTTGAAAGCATAATACATTATTTACAAATATATTTCATTAAAAATTATTGCCACGTAATGTTTTTCGATCTTGTGTTAACAATTATTACCCTCTTTTATTTGTGTGAGCAAATAATTTTAATTACTTGCAAGGAAAAATGGAAAAATAAAAACGTTTGGAACAAATTTCATATATTAAAAAATTAAATATATGAAAAGTATATATAAAAAATATTTAAGTGAGGAAAATAAGGGAGATTATGTATTTTCATTTCTCGCGATATTAAAGTTTATTACGGAGGAACAGAGAAATTAATGACAAAAATATGTAGATGTTTATATTCCACATTATCGTTTATCGATCAGGCTCACCAGAACGCTTTTCATTACCCATAAATGAAGCAAATAAAGTAAGTTATTAATCGCACGGATGATACAGGATACTCATTACCTCGAACAATGCGGCGGGACACGTGAGAGATTCGATCAAAATTATTTTATTATTTGACTAAGCTACTTATATAAATTATGCATCTTCATCAGAGTATAATATGTATAATTATACATTTAATGCAATACATTAATTCAATCATGAATCTTCAAAATTAGAACTCAATCTGCCTGGCTTTTTTGAATAAATATAGAATAAATAATTTTTTTTATTTTTATTAAAAAGATTAGATATTTTTATAATTAAATTAATGTGTTCGAGAAACATTTTTTTTGTCTCATTACGTCATTGAAATTTGTCCGAAAATTAAAAGATTTTGTCATAACTTTTTAATCTAATTTATCATGTTTTTTTTTTTAGAATTCGGAATCATCCTAAACATGCACTTACCAGTGAGACAATTAGAGCGTTGAGAACACCAACTATTGTGGCTGCCGCGAGCTGATGGAAAAACTGCGTGATCATAACAAGCTCATACGCAGGGGAGGCATTAGACTCGAAGGGTAGCTCCATCTTGAGAAACAATTCTCGAGCCGGCACCGTGATCTGTTCTTCGGCCTCATCAGGTTCTTCGGCATGGGCGACAAGTACGCCGGTACCATAAAGAAACACCGACATCGAATAAAGACCTATGATCAAATTAGAAGATCGATGCGACACATCGGTTGTTTTTGACATCGAGTAGACAGCCCACTCGGTTACGCACTCGCTTCGATCTCGGGCCATTGTCGCCAGAATGTCATGGAATATCCTACGAAAAGCTTGGAAACATCGCATTTCGACTTCTCTTATAATTACAAAAAATATGGTATTTATTCTTTTCTTTATATATTTTGCATATTTTGAATCAGGAACATGTACATGATTTAAATATTGTTAAATATTTAAATATAATTATGCGAGCTTATTTTGGTCTAAATATGCTATCTGTGTAACATCGAACTATTTATTTCGTTATATTTTTTAAAAAAGGTTCAATCTAAGCACGATTCTGAAATGCACGGGGAGATTGCTTTCACGTCGTTTTATTTCACGATAGAGATAAGCTGGTCTCACCGTCGATTGATCCAAAATATCGTAAGTTTCAGTAGCAAGAGGCTATAGGACATCGTAGTGCTGAGGCCATCCATCAGATGCGATAGGTCGTCGGTACGAACGTGTATGACAAAGTACCGGTATTGAAAGGTCTGCGCCATCGTCAGGGTGATCATCCAAAAGGCGCGACGAAGGACCGAGTAAGACGAGTCGGGCCACACGCCGATCACGCGAAGGCCGATCTCGATCGAACGACTGACGGTGCCATCGGGGATCATCGAATTCATTTTTGGGATCTTCGGATCCATTTTCGGAGCTCTGCTTTCGAATAGTATTTCTGACCAAAACTCCTCTTCTTACATCGATACCGCCGTGAAACTTTGATATTTCATCGAAAATCCAACCCGTGTATTATCGAGCAACGATGTTGAACATGGATGAACATGGGGGATGAACGTGGATGAACATGAAAGAATCGCTGCACACTGCGGATCCCCCACCCCAAGGTCGACGTGAACCAATAAGAAGTACCGACAGGATATTCCCATCGCGACGGAGGAATTACCAATCGAAATAGTCAGGTAAGATAAGTGCAGGTATAGATAACAAGGGGAGAAAAAAAAGAGCGAGCGGAGACAGCGTGGAAAGCATTGTCTTCGGGATTACCGCGAACCTTAAAAATTCAGGAGCCGTGCGCCATCGGGTGCGCGAGACCCTCGGGAATACAGGATAATGGTTGGTTAGATCAAGGCGTTTTAAAACGGTAAAATGTGGAAAATGATCGTAAGCGGCACGGCAAAAAAAGTTAAATTGGTACGTCCGGATCGGACGTTCATAGCGAGGGGAAAAAAATAATTATTCGCAGCGGGTACAGCTGTTATGAGTGAATGAATAAGTACGCGAACAAACGATGATGTATGAACATGAATGGTAAAAAAATGAAGTGAGTGGCGTCAACCGCATTAATTACGTTTTAGAGGAATTGAAAGTAATTTTACATTCACAAATAAAGCGTATGAGTGTAGAATAAATAAAATCCGAATTGACTTAGCAAAGCTTGGCTTTTAATAATACTAATATAAAATATGATTATGAATAATGAAATTATGAAGAAAATATAAACAATGCGCTGAAAAGACTTTTCAAATATTTCAAGGCCCGGAAAAATTTCTCTGAAATGATTTATGACAATCTTTTTGTCCAAAGGATTTATTTCTAAATGTATTTATTTCTATTTATTCTTTCTATTTCTTCTACATTTTATAGCCGTATTCTCTTTTGCGTATTTAAAACAGCATTTCGCTTTATATGTTTTACATGCTACTACTCAATATACCGGTAAGCATAGTAAATGCGCTTGGCACAAGTAATTATTATCCATTGGTCTCGTTTAATACATCGCGTGCAGCACCGACATATACGAAGCGGATGCTTTCATCACCTAGTCAAAATAAAAGGAAAAATATCATTCACATAACAGACCGCGTACGTTCTCTACTCAGTCTTAAAAAACATTAAGCATCTTGACGTTTTATCTCGTTACAGTGGATATTCATGGCGAAATTCTTACGCTCGTAAATCCTTCCAGAGAAAGATCCATGACGTTTCCGGCTGTGATCGTCAATCTCTTTTGCGATCTTAATATCACAAATAATAAAATTCGACACTCGGCAGGCGTCATGTCATACCAAAGCGTTCCGTACACTGCGTCACCAATCGATTTGCTCTGAAAAGGAAAACAGCGAACTTGAAAAAAATTTATTAATTTATTTAAATTTAAATTATTTAAGTTCTTTAATTTTAATTTGACTCAGCAATCTGAGAATTTTTCCAATTTCATTTAAGAAAAATACAAGAAAAATACAAGAAAAGTAATATATATTGAACTGATCAAGCTGTGTAAATCGTTCTGAAAAGGAGCGAAACTTGTGAAAATTGATTGCCATCAACACCAAAGAATGAAAGAGAAATAGAATATTACAT